GCATTCACTCTTTCGGGAAAGTGACCGATGGGCCTGGCGGCTGTGCTGGGAGGCGGAGCGGGACCCGGGGTGGCGCGGTCCCGAAGGCCTCCTTGGGCATGGGGTAGGGATGGGGGGATTGGGGCAGGGGTGTGGGTGGTGGGAGTAGAGGTGGTAGAGATGGGAGTAGGGGTGGGAGTGGGGAGGTGGGGCGATGGGGTAGGGGTGGAGGTAGGAGATGGGAGAATGTGCGTAGGGATGGGTGTGGTGGAGGTGAGGGGTTGGGAGTAAGTGTGGGGGTGGGAGGTGGGGGGATGGGAGTAGGGATGGGTGTGGTAGAGGTGAGGGGTTGGGAGTAGGGGTAGGGATTGGGGGTGTGGGGGTGGGAGTAGAGGTAGTAGAGATGTGGAGATGGTAGTAGGAATGGGAGTGGGGAGGTGGGGGGATGGAAGTAGGGGTGGGAGGTGGGGAATTGGGAGTAGGGGTAGAGGTGGGAGGTGGAGGGATGGGAATAGGGATGGGTGTAGTGGAGGTGAGGGGTTGGGAGTAAGTGTGGGGGTGGGAGGTGGGGGGATGGGAGTAGGGATGGGTGTGGTAGAGGTGAGGGGTTGGGAGTAGGGGTAGGGATTGGGGGTGTGGGGGTGGGAGTAGAGGTAGTGGAGATGGTGGTGGGAATGGGAGTGGGGAGGTGGGGTATGGAAGTGGGGGGTGGGAGGTGGGGAATTGGGAGTAGGGGTGGAGGTGGGAGGTGGGGGGATGGGGGTTGGGGTGGGAGTGGAAGGTGGAGGGATGGGAGTAGGGATGGGTGTGGTGGAGGTGAGGGGTTGGGAGTAGGGGTGGGAGTGGGAGGTGGAGGGATGGGAGTAGGGATGGGTGTGGTGGAGGTGAGAGGTTGGAAGTAGGGGTGGGGGTGGGAGGTGGGGGATGGGAGTAGGGATGGGTGTGGTGGAGGTGGGGGGAAATGGGAGTAGGGGTGGGGGTGGGAGGTGGGGGGATGGGAATAGGGATGGGTGTGGTGGAGGTGAGGGGTTGGGAGTATGGGTAAGGATTGGGGAGGTGGGGGGTGGGAGCTCAGTTGGTGTGGGGTGCTTTTCTGGTCCTCTTGCTTTGTTTGGATTCAGTATGGGGTACAGGTTGGGATGGATGGCTTTCCAAAATAAAGGCCATGGAGCTGATTCAAGAGTTGGTGTAGAACATTGAGGTCCCACCTAGGGAACACCACGAGGAGGTGGGGAGAAAGCAGTCTTGTCTTGGGGCAGACTGCTCCTCAGGCCCTGTGCCTTTCTGGCTTCTGGTAATGGCCCCCAATTCCATTCCCAGCCACCTCTGTGAGTCCCCAGCCTCCTCTGAGGCACGTTCCCCATCCATTGTCATGAGGGTGATGGTCCTCCCCTTCCTTCCTCCTGGCCTACCTCTGCAGAGGGGCCACATCCTTAGGAGGGAGCGGCTTCTCCCCAGCAGGGCCCTGGGCGCAAAGCCAGGGTGTCTGGTAGTTCCCATTCCCAGTTCGGCAGCCCCAGGCCTCTGTGTCTCTCCATCACCCACTTTCTCAGACCCTGGGGACATTGAGAGAGATTATTGTTGTTGCTCTTAACTTTGTCACAGATGAGGTACCGGGCTCCAGGAAGGATGTAGAGTTGATGAAGCAGGAAGCTCACATCTGAGACTGGGTATCAAGAGGGTAGAGAGCCCTGGATTGTGGGGGGTGGAGGCAGAGAGGAGAGAAAGACTTCATGGGCGTGTATTTCTACATGGGGCCCAGGGAGAATACAGAAGTATTTCTGTGTGTGCACATGTACATGTGTGCGTATATGGTGTGTACATGAGTCAGTGTTTGTGTACGTGTATACCTGTATATGTGTGAATTTATATATGTAAATGTGCATAAATCTGTGAGTCAGTATGAATTTGCATGTTGACTGTGCATATATTTACATATCTCTGTGTATTTATGGATATGTCTGTCTGCGTACACCTGTGAGTGCATACGTCTGCAAAGCTTTGCAGCCTTATGTTCCTGAATCTCTCTGTGTATGTGTATGTGTCTTCCTCTGTGTCTTTGACTGGTATGTACGTGGGTGGGCATATGTCTCAGTGTGTGTCTGAGCATACCTGCATACCGGACTATGTTTGTGTGTATGTGTATATCTGTACCAGCATCTGATGGGATGTGGTTTCAGGAGCGAAAAGAAGTTTTCCTGGATGTGCTGTGTTTCTAAGGGTGCTAAAGTTGAGGGGACAGGATCAGAGAGCCCTGGGGAAACTGGGTGATGGAGAGAGCACAGAGATGAGGCCCTTAAACATGGGCAGGCCTCTGGCAACAGGAGAATGGGTACTGGCATTGCTAGGGACTTTACCCATGCTGGGCCCCAGGGACTGTCTCTACATGAAAAGGCCTGTCCTCAGTAGAGGGGTCTGTCCAACTTCCATGGATGGAAATTGGGTCAGGCAGCTCCTAATCACAGCATTATCAGGTGGTCCTTCTCCCCAAGGGCATGGAAGGGGAGCTACCTGGGAGTAGGGCCCCACACAGGTCTGCGCACTACACACTACAATAGTCCATTCTTTTTTTTTTTTTTTTTAACTTTATTTGAGGTTCATGGGTACTTGTGCAGGTTTGTTACATAGGTAAACTCATGTCACGGCGGTTTGTTTGCTGTTCAGATTATTTCATCACCCAGGTACTAAGCCTACTACCCAATTTTTTTTTTTTTTTTGAGACGGAGTCTTGTTCTGTTGCCCAGGCTGAAGTGCAGTGGCACAATCTCGGCTCACTGCAAGCTCTGCCTCCTGGGTTCACACTATTCTCCTGCCTCAGCCTCCCAAGTAGCTGGGACTACAGGCGCCCGCCACCACACCGGGCTAATTTTTTGTATGTTTAGTAGAGACGGGGTTTCATTGTGTCAGCCAGGATGGTCTCTATCTCCTGACCTCGTGATCCACCTGCCTCGGCTTCCCAAAGTGCTGAGATTACAGGCGTGAGCCACCGCGCCCGGCCTACCCAATATTTTTCTGCTCTTCCCCCTCCTCCTACCCTCCACCCTCAAGGAGACCCTAGTGTTTGTTGTTCCTTTCTTTGTGTTCATGAGTTCTTATCCTTTAGTTCCTACTTATAAGTGAAAACATGAGGTATTTGGTTTTCTGTTCCTGCTTTAGTTTGTTAAGGATAATGGTCTTTAGCGCCACCCATGTTCCCAAAAAAGACATGATCTCGTTCTTTTTATGACTGCATCGATTCCATGGTGTATATGCACCACACTGTCTTTTTCCAATGTGTCACTGATGGGCATTTAGGCTGATTCCATGTCTTTGCTATTGTGAATAATGCTGCAGTAAACATTCTCATGCCTGTGTCTTCATGGTACAATTATTTATGTTCCTCCGGGGATATACCCAGTAATGGGATTGCTGGGTCCAGTGGTAGTTCTGCTCTTAGCTTTTTGAGGAATCGCCATGCTGCTTTCCACAATGGCTGAACTAATTTACACCCCCACCGAGGGAGTACGTGTTCCCCTTTCTCCACAACCTCACCAGCATCTGTTATTTTTTGACTTTTTAGTAATAGCCATTCTGACTGGTGAGATGGTATCTCATTGTAGTTTTGATTTACATTTCTCTAATGCTCAGTGATACTGAGCTTTTCTTTTTTTATATGAATAAACCCATTCTTTTATTTTATTTTTTCCTATTGGGAGAGTCATGCTTTAAAATAAGCCCATTTTTGATGCTATGCTTCTAGAACAGTGTCGTCTGTCTGTGGGAGTGGGAAGGACAGGCGATAAAGGAAGTTCTGTGCATGTGGTCTGGAGACTGGTATTTCAGCTGAATGCCAAGCCCCTTATATCAACCTCTACTTATCTCCCTGATGGAGAATGGACTTTAGCCAAATCCAGTAGCCCAACATCCTGCCAGTCAAAATCAGGGGTAGAGGTAGGGAGGGGAAAGAAGAGGGGCTTAGACCCCTCCAGACTGAAGCTTACTTGAGGCAGGCCAGGGTAGACAAGATGTCCCTCAAATCTTCAGCATGATCTAGCATTAGGCCTCAACGTCAACTCTTATATTTTCATTCCTTTGGCTGATTAAGGCCTTCCAGTCTTGAATAACCCCTGATTAAAAAGGAAATACTCTTGAGAGAAGAAATTCCCCAGAATGTTATCTATTCATACCCCTGGAAAGCTGATTGGCAGCTTGCTGAGAACAAGATTTTGTGAGAAGGAACACAGAAGGAAAGGATGTGTGGAACTATCAGTGGAAATGGTGGGAGTGGGGTGGGAGGGGGAGAAGAGAAGCTATTAAAATGGAGATAACGAAGCAGAGCCAGGGCTGTGCTCACTATTTTCTCTTCCTAGAAACCCAAGAGAACTAGGACTTTCCCAGTATCCTTGCAGTAAAGCTGGGCTCTGCAGCACGCTGCTGAATCCTGCCAATAAAAAGTGGCTGGAGATGAAGTAAACCCACTCCAGGCCTGGTCTTCGGATTATCCCCTGTGATCCTCCAGTTTTCACTTTCCCTGCAACAGTGACCTGGGAGTCCATGTGTCTGAGATGGCACAGCTACCAGATGGAGGGGGCTGTCTGACCTACTTTGCTGTATTAAACCTTGCGATTTTACTTGTTACTGCAGCAAAACCTGTATTACCTGCATGAGCACACATAGAAAAAAAAGGTACTAACAAGTTTCTGGATTTTCCCCAGACAGATAGAGCACAGAAGTCAGGATCTCAGACTCTAGAGTCATACAGTTCTAGGTTCAAATCCCAGTTCTCCTATTTCAGTTTCTTTATTTTAGTATGCATCAGTTTCTTCTTCTGTAAAGTGGGGGGTGACTTAGACAATCCCTGTCACTCATTTGGTCCATTGCCTGCCAATGGTAAGTAATCAATGTTGGCTTTTATGCTGAATGATTAAAGAGGCAATTTAGTGTTAGGAATGGGCATGGGTTCCAGATCTCATTTCCATGTACTTTAAATTTCTTTTTCTATCAAACAGGATTAATAACAAACCATAGCAGACTCACCAGGGTTGGTGTGAGGATCCATGTGATTATGTTGGTGATTGTGCTGAGTAAACCATAATGCAACAGAGACAAGGTAGCTGTTTTTATCACAACTGATATTAACCCTACATCTAGCACACAGAAGCGGTAACTTAGTTCAGATATGGGGAGGACAACCTCAGGCTCACACACTTGCTGGCCGGCTCCAGAGGGGCTGAGGCACCTGCAGGAGGACCACCTCCATCTGGGTAAAGGGGAGGGGTTGAGGGAAGGGTCCCTTCAGGACACCACTGTCTCCATCTCCCCATTAGAGAGCATCCCCATGACCCCAGCCTCCCAAGAACTGGATTCCCCAGGAATGCCTGGGGACTCCCAGGTGGAGAATGTAGTGCTGGCTTCACTGATGTCTCTGCTGGAGAAGCATAGCCTGGTCAGATCTCCAGGCACTGCCCAATTCCCAAGGCTGACCCTGGGGAGATATGCCCTACCATCCTGGGCATGAGGCTGTGGGTTAGGGCAGAGTGAGGGAAGTCGTGCTGAGCCTTATGTGGAGACAGTCTTCTTACCCCTTCTCCCCCTGGGGTGGGGGGTCATTGGGCAAGGCCTTTGCAAGTACCCACCGTTTGAGCCTCCTGAACTACTCCTGAAGCTGTCCCCTTCCCCACTTCCTGTGCCTTGTGTTGAGGGGCCGCCCTCCATCTACAGCTGAGCTGGTGCTGCTAAGACCTCATGATCATGCCTACTCTGACTGCCAGATGCAGATTTATCGTGAAGCTATCAAAACATTCTTTAGGCTCATTCACTAGCATGAGCCCCTTCTAACACCTAATTTTGTATTCTTTCTAAAGAGATGCCCCCAAATTGTATATGCTTAGGATTCACAAAACCTAGGTTTGCCCCAGAGCCCTGCCCTGGGGCAATTTCTGGGCCTCTCACTGTAAGAGAGGCCAGAAAAGGGGATAGAGGATGTCTGGGTCAATGGACCCAGCTTCCTGTTCTTGCCTCCTTCCCTGAAGGGCAGGACATGTGGGTTCCTTTTTGGCCGTGAACTGTGGCACTGAACCAGTCATTTTCCCTTTCTGGCCTCAGTTTCCTCATCTGTAAGCAAGAGGGTTAGATAAGATGGTTTCTAAGGCCCCTTTAGCTTCTAACCTTAGAAAACGGGACACCTTATTAAGACCCTATGGGGACAGGCCTGGCCGACCCAGCTGAGTAGCTCCCAAGGCACCAGGCCTCACTGGAGCCTTTTCACCGATGTTGTCAATGAGGACTGCTGAACTCCTGGAACAGGGTCCCAGCCTACGACAGGACCCCAGGCCTGGGAATCAAATCCCCAGAGTGAGGGGCCAGATGTGTGTGGGTGCGGGGTCCCGGAGAAGAACAAGAATGACCCCTTCCCTGGTTTGGAGAGAGAGCTGTGGCGTGTGATAAGGAAAAATTCACCGACAGCCCATGCCTTCGGTTTCCTTCTAAATCTGGGACCCACCCAAGTCAGAGACGGGGTCCCTCACCACTGTCTAACCAGTCTCCCTGAAATGCAGCCTCTGTTGCTGGGAAAGGCATGGGGCTTACTCTTTACTAACCGAGTCATGGTCAGGGCAGAGGCGGCTGAAGCAGCAGGGCTGAGGCCCCCGGGAGTTCATTCTTCTCTCATGGGGTGTAGGTGATGGAGTTAGTCAGACGGAGGTTCACATCCCAGCTCTCTCCCATCCTGACTGTCTGGCCTGGGGCAAATGACTCAGTCTCTCTGAGCCCTGGTTTATCTTCAAAACAAGGGAAACTAGTATGTACCTCATAGGATTACTCTAAGGATTAAATGAGATAACGTGTGTGAAAGTGCCTGGCACCTGGTAGGCCCTTGTGGCCATCTGTTCTACGTCATCATCTCTACTCTTTGGGAAAGGGACGGCTCAGGTGCTCCTGCCCCAGAGGTCCTAGGAAGCAGATGGGGTCAGGCAAGGAGTGAAGGTGAGATTGGGGTCTCAGCAGGGGGCACTGCCTGTCCGCTGGAGCAGTGGGAGGCCCAGACACCCGGGTCCCAGCTGTGCTCATGGAGTGAGCAGCAGCAATGAGAGCCCCTCTTCCCTCCCATGCCCCCTTGCTCAGGCAGGGTCCCCTGTGGGGAGGCCTGGAGCCTTTGTGAGTGTGGGTCCCTGGACAGAGGCCTAGTGGCCTATGGAGAAGGCCCCCGAGTCAGTGGACTGCTTCTCCGCCGTGGTCTGGTCGCTGGGGTACACTGGGTTGGTCAAAGCGGCGATTTTCAGCGTAGTCTCATTCACCTGCAGGCAGAAGAACTGGTGTTGCTGAGTTCTGACTACGGGCAATGTCCTCCCATGTGACCCCATTTGCCAGACTCAGCAGTGGGTGCCCATGACCCGGTCATGAGGGGAGCCAGGATGTCTGTGTGATCCCAAGGCCCCTCCTATGTACCCCAAGGGCAAACAGAGCCCCCATTCATCCCATGGCCTCCCCTAGTCCTGCCCCAGAAATGGAGAGGGGAGGTGACAGGGTGGGGACCTTGACAGAGATGACCCACAGAACCCCTAAGATTCTCTGCAGAGCCCAGTCTTGGCCAAGTCTTCCCTTGTCTGGACCCCAAATATTCATCGAGGCCTGGTGAACTCCCCTTCAGAAGGCCTCAGAAGGGGAGCCACTGAGAGTCCCTGCCCCACCTGCCCTGCCCCCTCTCCCTTTCATCCAAGGGTGTCCCTCCCCCAACTCACCTCCTCAAACTTCTTGGCCTTGTATTGATCGGCCCCCTTGAGGAAGTTGAGCAGGATGATGTCACAGAGAACAGTCCCCTGGAGGAGGAGAGGCAGGGCGGGCTCCAAGGGATGCCCTGGGGTGGCTGGGATCAGGGTGGCAGGAAGTGGTGGGCTCGGGCAGCACCCCCAAGCTGCCTAAACGGTGGGCAGGACATTTCACCCTTGCAGCACACTTTTGGGATAGTGCTATGGTTTGAACGTCCTCATCCAAACTCATGCTGAAACTTAATCCCCAATGTGGCAGTATTGACAGGTGGGGCCTTTAAGAGGCGATCGGACCCTGTGGGCTCTGCCCTCATGGATGGATTAATCCGTTCATGGATTCATGGATCAATGGGCTCTCATGGGAGGGGAGCTGGTGGCTTCATAAGAAGAGGAAGAGAGATCCGAGCTAGCACATCTGCAGAATGAAGGCCAGGGTGGGGACCAGTCCTCCAGGGAGGCCTGACTGATGTTCCCTCTTAGAAAAATGCCCAGGGACTTTGCAGGATGTTTCAGGGATGCCTTCCCAGCTCCTAGGGGGTGACCCAGACCACAGCTGCACAGAGAGAGGACTGCGTGGGGGGGAAGGGTGGAAGTCCCTGAAGGCAGGCTATGTGCCCACCCTGCCACGTGGGCTCTGTTCCTCATTAAGGCATCCCAGGTCTGCAGAAACCCAGAGCCTCCTCCCCCAGCTACACGGTGAGAAACAGGAACTCTGTAACAGGTGGAGCCTCCTGAAAACGGGAAGGCTGCTTCCGGAGGTAATGAGCTCTCCATGACTGGAGACGTTCCAGCCAGTGCCGACGCAGCAGGGTGGTGGCCAAGGAGACTGAAGCACCTGGCAAGTGCGGGGGGTGGGGACTTTACATTCCAGGCAGAGGCAGAGCTGCCCCCGTCACTCCCCTGCCTGCTGGTGCCAGTCTGGGCCCCACTCTGGCTGGCCCATCAGAGCCTGGAGGGGCTGAACTCACCACTCCCACAGAAGTAAAGGCTGCCACAGAGCTGATGATGGTGGGGATGATGTTGAACTTGCCAGCCTGTGTGCACAAAGACCAAGGCGAGTGGGCAGAGGGCCCACGGGAGGGGGGTGAGGCCTGAGGCTGCACGTGGAGCCAGAAGGGTTCCTCATGGATCAGTAGGTCCCTCCCCTTCACGGCACAGGTGAATCGATGGGAGAGTGACCCGCTGAGGGTGTCAAAGCTGGCCAGCAGCAGATCCCTGCCCCCCAGAGGAGCTTCTTCAGAACCTGAGAGGTGGTCTGGGCTGCCTCCCCTGTCCACCCCATCTGCCTGGCCCATGGACTTACATTCCCGTACACCAGCACGTCGAAGCGGATGCCGAAAGCCTTCAGGAGGGTGCGGTACTCACTGCCGTTCTCCATTTTGTAGTACTTGGCAAACCTGGAGGTCAGAGGCAGAGATGGGTCCCTCTGTGGGCTCCTTTCTCTCCCGCCTGAACCTTCTGGGTCCTCCAGAGCCCTGTGTCTTCGCTCACTGAGCAACCCTTACCTACGGTTTCTGAGACACCTGCCACGCCCCTCCCTGTGTGGTTAGCTGACCCCTCGCACAAGCATCATCTTGGGGGCTTCTTATAAAAGCAGATTCCTGAGCTCCACCCTGAACCCACAGAATCAGCATCTCTGTGGGTGCAGCCCAAGAACTTGCCTTTTATTTATTTTTATATTTTTGAGACAGAGTCTCACTCTGTCGCCCAGGCTGCAGTGCGGTGGTGCGATCTCAGCTCACTGAAACCTCTGCCTTCTGGGTTTAAGCGATTCTCCTGCCTCAGCTTCCCGAGTGGCTGGGATTACAGGCACGTGCCACCATCCCTGGCTAATTATTGTATTTTTAGTAGAGATGGGGTTTCACCGTGTTGGCCAGTCTGGTCTTGAACTCCTGACCTCAAATGATCCACCTGCCTCGGCCTGTGCTGGGATTACAGGCTGAGCCACCATGCCCGGCCAGAACTTGCCTTTTAAATAATTTCCATCAGTGATTCTGATGTGTTAGAAAGTTTGAGCCACTGCTAGACTCCAAGCTTCTTCAGTTCCATTTGTCTGGGTCTCCCAGAGCCCAGCTCACTCTGCTTATTTGGGCTCAAAGCCTGGCTCTGCCGCTTACTGACTGTGCAACGTTGGGCCAGTTACTTAACATCTCTGAGACTCAATTTCCTCATTTGCAGGTGGGAATAATACACAGAAGTCCTGCTTCATCAGGCTGCCATGAGAACTGAGTGAAACCACACACGTCAGGGGTGTAGACAGTGCGCGGAACACAGTAAGCGCTCAGGAAACACTCGCTGACGTTGGCCATTGTTATTGTTAACATTTATAGAGCAGTTTTAAAAGGCGCTTTCAGACTCCTTGTCTCATTTCACCCTTGCAACAAACCTTTGGGACAGTGCTATGGTTTGAATGTTCTCATCCAAAACTCACGTTGAAACTTAATCCCCAACGTGGCAGTATTGACAGGTGGGGCCTTTAAGAGGCGATTGGACCCTGTGGGCTTTGCCCTCGTGGATGGATTAATCCATTCATGGATTAATGGATTAATGCGCTATCACGGGAGGGGAACTGGTGGGTGTGTAAGAAGAGGAAGAGAGATCTGTGCTATCACATTAGTACACTCAGCTCTGCTCCACGTGACACCCTGCGCCCAAGACTGCAGTCCCCACCAGTAGGAAGACTCACCAGATGCGGCTGGCTCCACAGCCTTGGACTTCTCAGCCTCTATACATGAAGAAATAAATTCCTTTTCTTTATAAATTACCCAGATTCAGGTATTTCGTTAGAAGCAACGGAAAGCGGATGATTATAGATAGGCATGTGATTGCTCTGTTTTTCAAACGAGGCTCTGAGGGGGTGAGGTGACTTGTCTGGGGTCACCCAGAGCTGGTGCTGAGTTCACCAGCTGGTGAGCTCAGCACTAGATTTGCCCAAGTCCAAGACTTTGACCCCTGCACCTTCTCTGCCTTGGCTTCCGGGTGCCATGAACTGTGCTGGGGACTTCGGAAAATGATCCCATTTCATTCTCACCACAAACAGGGGTTAGTGTTCACCACACAGAGGTGAGTGTTCAGACCCCCATTTTGCAGATGCCTATGGTAGGGAGGAGATTTGCCTGTAGTTTCGCAGTTAGTGAAGTGCTGGATTTGGGATTCAAATCGCATCAGTCTTTGGCTTCTAAAGCCAGTGCACTTTCTGCTGTGTGGCTCTGCCCATCACGGGCCAAACTCTCACATTAGGAAAGTGTCATCTCTTTGGGCTACTGTCCCACAGCTGTAAAATGGGTTTCTGATGCCTGTAACCTTGGAAAGTGGTGAGGATTACGTGAAATCAAGGGAACGAAAGGGCCCAGAAGCTCCTTAGCCTTGTGGGGTCGACATTGTTCCCTCTCAGTGTCTCCAGTCCCCACAGATTCCCAGGCCTCTCCCACCAGGGGTCTGAGAAACTGATTCCCTGAAAGTGTTCAGTGATTGACGTGATGCTCCTGACAGGGATATTTGCATTTGAATCTGTACAACAGAGAAGGAAATGCTCAACCCAAGTGAATCAATCATGGCGGGATTACAGGCATGGGAGGAAGATAACTTGTGATGGGGAAGGAAAACGCCGCCGCTATCTGCTCTGGCTGCCATCTGGCAGTGGGGCGCTCTGGAATCAGGCAGAAATGAATCTAAATCCTGGCTCCACCACTTGTTAATGTGCCTCTGGGGTTCCTTAGCCTTCAGGGTGTCTGTTTCCATGTCTATAAGCACAGGTGTGCTCATGCCCCACTAGAAGGTCTGTTGGTGAGACAGGGTAAATGCGGACATCATTGAGATTCTTGTGTTGGAGACTCTGTCTGCTCCTCCACACCCATTCTCTGTCCCTTCTGTGCCCAGTTCCGGGCCCTGAGAGCCTGGTCTGCAAAGACTGCTTTGGCCTCCATTTCCAGGTGGGTTCAGCCAATGGAAGGCACTGACAGGAGATCAGAGGGCAGGGAAAAAGAAAGACCAGGGCACTGAGGTGGCTGGGCAGCCTGGGCATTTTTTCAGGTTCTGGGAATTGCTCCTCTCCTCGCTCCCGCCAGCTTAGGTGGTAGCAGCTTGGCCTCATTGCCAGCACAGAGGCCCTTCACTGGCCTGGTTAGTTCCCCTCCCTTTACCTCGAATGCACCTTTGTGTACAGTCTCTTTATTCAATCACCCCTGTGAGGCCACCCACTGTTTCCCCTCAGGACACCTACCCTGACCACTCCCCTTTACAGAGGAGCAAGTTCAGTCCTAGAGAGCTTTATCTGGGTCAGGAGGGAGCACAGGAGAATGGGTGACACATTTTCTCTCTGCCTGTGCGTGGGCGTGAGCAGAGCTGGTGTGCCTGAGTGATGCACCTGTTGCTCCAGTAAGGCTGAGAACGACTCAGTGAAAAAATGGTTTCCAGGGGAGCCTGACCTGGGAAGGTGTTTCCTTTTGGGCTGTGCAGCTGAGGGAGAGGCAGGGGAGGCAAGAGGATCCCAAGAAAGAGTAAGACCCAGAGTAAGAATGAGAGTGACCCTGAGAAGGCAGCAGAAAGAAGTACAACCACTTAGCTGGAAGAGGGCTTAGAGGTCAGGGAAAGAGGGGAGGGGCTAAACCAGCTTTAAAATGATGCTAAGTTCAAGTCTAGGTGGTGGAGGAAGATAGCATCACAACCAAGGCAAAACAGAACGAATTCAAGGTGCGGCAAAAGGAGAATAATAGGATGGACACAAGAGAGGACGTCATTTCCACAAAGACGACAGGGTCTAAGAACATAAATTCTTCAAGGAGGACTCTCAGGATATTTTAAAGAAGTTTGCAAAAGAATTATCTGGAATGGGCAGAAGGCTCCAGGAAGTCCTTACTGTGGCTTTCAGATTGTTCTGAAGGTAAGTACAGACCATCACTGTCTCCATGCCCACTGTTTTTAGAGCACCAGCAATATAGGTGGTTCCTTAATATAAGCATCTCCCCTAATCTCATGAAGACTACACTGTTGTTGACCCATCGTACAGATGAGGAAACAGGTGAGAAGGTAACTTGCCAGAGCTGGGATTCTAATCCATACTGATGCCTCCAAAGTTCATGCTCACGTCCCTTGAGCCGTCCTGCCTCTGAGCTCTTGGAGGCTGTTAAGGATAACGCAGCTCTTGTGCGAGATCTCAAAGCCTTCTAAATACTGTGTTCTGTCTCACATCACTGGAGAATTCAAGGCCCTTGTCTCAGAGATTTGGCTTCTCATGCCCATGGGAAGTGGGCAGGGGCGAGAGGGTAGGTCACAGATGTTTGGCTAGGGCAGAGGCTGGGCCTGCGATCCTGAAATCTTCACTGCTGGCCAAAAGCTGCAACCATGAAAACGGCTCTGACAGTGACATCAACTTGGAGAACAAAAAGTCGTATCCTGGGCACTGCCGTTCAAAGTGAGGGCTGGCTAAATTTATCCTGGGAAGGAATGTGAAGGGAACAGGGAGAAAAATCAAAGCGGACTTGGTTTTTCTCCAGCACCTGCCTTCCAAGAGGCAATAAGCATGGTAAGATCATTATCTCACCAACCACCCACCCTCTGAGGAGGGTTGGCAGGGACTGGTTCTCTTCCCGGGTAGAGGGAGGAGGAACAGAGCTCAGGGAGTGTGGGCCCAGGCTGCAGACAGGAGGGGTAACCCAGGAGTCCCAGCTTCTGCACTCTTCTGTGGCTGATGGGGATCACAGAATCTGCCCACCCCTGGGGCAGAGACGGCTCATTGGTCACCAGGATCTGGTTATCTCCTCTCTTTGCAGATGATTAGACCACATTTCCCAGTCCCCTGCATTTAGCTGCGGCCCCATGACTAGTTTTTGCCAGTGAAATGTGAATGGCAGTGAGGTCTGTTCCCTCTGCACTGAGGTGGTTTAGAGCAGTGTACCTTCTACGTCTTCCCTTTCCTCACCGGACGGCCAGTTGCTCAGGAGTCAGGAGAGGACTCTGAGACTCTAGAGAGGCTGAGTCAAGATGGTAGGAACCTAGAGCCCTGAATGACTGCACGGAGCTCCCTACCCCCACTGGCCCACAGTGCACTGTGCCATAGGCAAGAAATCGACCTTCACATTAAGTCACTGAAATGAGGGGTTTGTTTGTTATAACAACTAGCAATACTAACCCTGACTGTTACAAACTCCCAGAATTTCATGGGCAAGAGATGTAATTTGCCAAGGGACAAAGAAAGAGCTGAAGTTGGGGAGTTACTCGGCATTAGACAGAGGGCACAGTCCCTTGATGCTACATCCCAGGAGTAAACCCTCTAAGGAGGCCCTAGGGGATCTGGGTGTGGTGCTATGGCTGTTGTGAATTAGCTTCTTGATCTTGGGAAAGTCAATCGACTTCTCTGAGTTTTTTACTTCAACTGAAAAATGGGAGGAAAAAGAGC